TTATCGTTACGACTCCTGTAGAAGTCAAAGTACCTTGTTTATTTAAATATTTTTAAAGATCAAAAGAGGAATTAAGATGGTACACTAAAAATATGTCTAAAACAAAACCTACAGGTTTCCAAATTTTTACATTTAAACATTTCTAGTATATGCTTCTTAAAATTGTCCAGATATTCATATAGTAAGATGAGCATCTGTGATACATGTGCTAGGTGTGATCCAGAGATACAGTGAATGTTCCTGTTTTTTTAAACATGATTGCGGTAGAAGACGCATTAAACCCCCGCAGAACCCTCCCCCTCGGTTCGAAGACACCTGCCCCAGCGTTCTTTCCGCTCTCCGCAGCAGTTCTGGACGTCCTCTTTCGTGACTGTTCTTAGTTGCGCTCTTTTGGCTTCCTTGATGTCCTGAATCTATTCAGAATGTTTACTTTTCATGGTCGTTTTGACTTTGAGGAAGAGCCAGAAGTCACAGGGTGCCACATCTGGTAGGGTGGATGGGGACGCAGTGTAATGCTTTTGTGAGCCTGCCTTTGTATGTATTGGGTGGCACTCAGAAATAGCATTCACCATATTTTTGATCACGCCCTGTAAAGACGCTCAAGAAAGAAGACTTCAGAACTGCTTCAGAAAGTGGAAGAGTGCCAGGCACAGTGGTGCACGCCTGTAATCCCAGCCCTCCGGAGCCTGAGGTGGGAGGATCACTATGATTTTAAAGCCAGCCTGGGTTATATAGTGAACTCAAGGCCAGCCTGAACTACACAGCAAGACTTTGTCTCAAAAAAAAAAAAAAAAGAGGGGCTGGGAATATAGCCCAGTGGCTCAAGCACCTGACTAGCAAGTGCAAGGTCATGAGTTCAATTTCTGGTACAAAAAAAAACAAAGAAAGTGGCAAGAATGACAGGATGAGTTGTGTTCGAAGCAAGGGAAGGGACTTTGAGGAGCATTAGTGGCAATGTGACTGTAATAAATTTTTTAATGTAAACCTTTACCATATTTCTGATCACCCTTTGTATAACTAAAAAATAGCTGATTTAATTAATGAACAAAATGTAAAGTTTTCTGACAGCTCAAAGGTTAATATCTTGTGAAGTTTCGTTCTGAGAGCTAGATGATGACATTTCATTTTTTTTTACATTTCATTATTGTTACATTGTTAAATTATTGTTATATTCTTGCTAACTTGTACATTATTGTTATGGCTACATTGGTTTTGTTTTGTTTTGTCTTTTTGAGACAGGGTCTCTCTATGTAGTTCAGGCTGGCCTTGAGCTCACTTTGTAGCCCAGGCTGGTCTCAAACTCGCAAGGATTCTCCTGCCTCAGCCTCCTGAGTGCTGAGATTATACTTGTGGGCCACTGCACCCCGCATGGCTACATTGTTATATTGTTGTTCCATTTTGTTTTATTATTACATTGTTACAGTTATTGTTTCCCTCTTGCTTTCCTTGGCTTGAATTTCAGGAGACTAGATGAGGCAAGCACTTTACATCTCAGACATTGACTAAATACTTCCTGGACTAAGCAGCTCTTTCTCCAAATCACCCCTGAAGAGGCTTCGAGGGTACTGTAGCACAAAGGCAGAAATAGCATTCCGCACTGCAGTCCTCAAGCTTCCTGTGTCAGCTCTCCCCACACAGGGGACCCGTTTTCTCTAGAGGAACATTTCAAGAACTAGGGAAGCCTGCAAGCGTAAATTTCATCCGTCCTTCTGTGGGGTCGCTGACATTCTGCACATTCATGAGCCCCTGTCTGTCGTGGGGTGTCCCCTACACCAAGCATGCGTGACTGTGAGGACCGTTGGCGTCCCCTTCCCCACTCTGCAGGGTCAGCGCTGGCACCGTGGGAGTTGTGCGTGGGGGCGCTGCTCGTGCCACGCCCCACCCTCGAGGTCTAACCCCAGGCTCCCATTTCAGCATCTCCGCCTGCAGGCTCTTGGGCAGGGAGCTGGCCTTGACCGGAGGAGGGCGGGAACTGTCTCCTGGCCCGAGGCAAACCTGAGGCAGCTCTGAAGTCCACACGGCGGTCTCTAGGGCTTCCTGCGCGCCGAGGGAACCTATGACCTGCTACAGGCTCAGCCTTTTTGGAGTGTTTTGCTTCCTTGTCTCACTTCTTAGAGTCGGCTTTGGGTATTTGTATATTGCGAAAGCGATATCCAATAAATACGTGTTGACTTGGATTAATTCATGGGTTAGCTGAGGAAAATTCGGATCATTTGAAGAAGTTATCATCCAAGGAAAAGGTTATTAGAATACACAGTCGCTGTTAACAAGAAGCAGAGCTGTAATTGATGAGAAACACAAGACACATGGTGTTCAGGGGAGGAAGACATTTGGACTTCGTGCACTCTCTTGTGGGACTTCGTTTTTGTTTTTTGGGTTTTTGGGTTCTGGGTATCAAACTCAGGACCTTGCACTTGCCGGGCAACGCTGCGCCACTGAGCTAGATCCCCACCCCTCTTGTGGGACTCTGTGGGGTCAGCCAGCACCTGGCACATAGGTGGCGTCTGCCCTGTGGCGAGGTGGCAAGGCCCTGACAAGGCAGCATTTAACAAGAGGCACTTAGCCGGGCATGGTGGTGCACACGCCTGTAATCCCAGCACTACGGAGGCTGAGGCAGGAGGATCACTGTGAGTTCGAGACCAGCCTGGGCTATAAAGTGAGCTCAAGGCCAGCCTCAACTACACAGTGAGACCCTGGCTCAAAAAGACAAAAACAAAAAACAAGAGGCACTTTCGGAGTCGGACAGAGCTTTGTCACACTTGAGTTGCCCTCTGCCCTCTGACTTTAGAAGGTGACGGAGCTTCTCCTGGCCCAGGTTCCCTATATGTCACATGAGGAAATGAAGTTTATTATCCCTCAAGGTTACATAGATCAAAGCCGGGCATGGTGGTGCACGCCTGTAATCCCAGCACTCGAGAGGCCGAGGCAGGCGGTCATTGCAAGTTCAAGACCAGCCTGGGCTACAAAGTGAGCTCAAGGCCAACCTGAACTGCATAGCGAGACCCTGTTTCGAAAAGACCAAAAAAACAAAAAGATAAGGTTACATAGATCAGATGAGGAAATTGTCACGGTACCTGGTCCATAGTCAGCACTCAGGTGTTTATTTACTCCTTTTGCGGGAGTAGATGGACTTTGCATCTGACACTGTGTTGAAATTGGACAAGAAAATGGGCTGGTGATACAGCTCAGTGGCATAAGTGCCTGCCTGGCAAGCGCAGGGTCCTGAGTTCAACTCCCGGTACCGAAAAAGAAAAAAGAAAAAGATATTGGACAAGGAAAAAAGCAGCACATTAAAGCTGTTGAGTGTGGGAGGCAGGCTGGGGACCGGCACTAGCAGCGCGCCTGTCCCTGCATGCGGAAGCAGGGTGTAGGGGGTCAGTTACAGGGAAGCCGGGAGGGGCCCTGCGGCTACAGAGCTGTCTGGACGTGATCCCTCCCTGGAGGAGAGGCCTTGAAGATGCCCTGTTATGGACGACAGGAATGGTGACGCCCGCATGTGAATCGGGCCTCAGGAGCGGTCAGAGCTGGAAAGAACCTGGGAGTGACCCCAGAGTCTCTCTCGAAATAGAGAAACCAGTCGGCCTGGTTTCCGCTGTGAGGAATTGGTGTCGCGGCGCTGTCCACAGGCAGGACGTCAGCACCGCGTGGGCTCCTTGATGCTGATTTTGCCGATTCCCACGTACACTAAAGTAGTTTTATTTCTTCACGGTTGTTTGCCATTTAGTCTTCCAAAGTACACACATCACTGTGGGCTGAACAGAGCTGTGAAGGAGGGCACCTGAGAGAGTGCCACGGCACCGAGCTCAGAAGCGGGGTCGGGAGCGAGGTGGCAGAACAGGCAGGCAGTCGCCACGGACCCGAGAAAGAGGGCCCATCCTGGGCTCGACTTCCGGTCCCACAGCCTGCTGGCCTCGACCTTCAGTGGAGGGCAAGTGAAGGATCTCTGAGCAGGGAAAAGATGGGAAAAGTATTCAGGCGGGAGACCCCAGGCGCGGGCAGTGTCGTGGATGAGACTCGGTTCACAGGGCATGGCCTCATGGTCACTTGAGGATTCACCTTTGTTTCAGGCAGCTGGAAGCCACTGCTGGCTCCCATAGATCTGCATCTGGCACATCTGTCTAGATGCACAAGGACAGTGGCGAGCAAAGGGCTCGGGAAGGAGGGTGTGTGCTGCACCTGGGGCTGGCCTCAGAGGAGGGAGAATGGGTAGATTTAAGAGAGATTTGGGCTGTAAAACCAGCGGAGCCCCGGGAAGACTGCAAAGCCCCAGATTTCTGCAGTTGGTTGAAGCAGGTGCTGGTAGCTTCTCCATAAACCCCACAATGCATTGTCATTATTTTTGCTGAAACTGTCAGCTTACTTACAGAGGTCTGAATAACGAAAAGACATTGGATGTGTTTGTCCCAGGGTGATGACTTCGATGCTGCATGTCCCCTGAGGAGACGCGCATTTCAGTGTGACACTCACCATGTGGAAATAGCTTCCTAAATTTGTTTTAAAGTTTCCACTTGTTCGTTGCTGATGTATAGAAAGGAAGTTCCTTTGCTTTTGTTTTATTAGCCCTGTTTCTGTGACCTTACTAAACTCCTTTCTAGATCTGAGAATTTTTTCCTAGATTCTTGGGTATTTTCTCTAAAAATCATGTGGTGTGTAATTAAAGGCGGTTCTGGTTTTTCTTTTTCTGGTCTGATGCCTTTCACTTTTTCTGTGCCTTTTTATACCACTTGGGGCTTCCGTTGAAGTGCTGAATAGAATTAGTGCTCGTGGCTGGGGATGGTGGTGCACGCCTGTAATTCCAGCATTTGGGAGGCTGAGGCAGGAGGATCGCCATGAGTTCGAGGCTGGCCTGGGCTACATGGCGAGATCATGTCTCCAAACAAAAAGAAAAAAGAAAACATTTCTTGTTTTCCCATCAAGTTGTTAGCAATTTTTGTACATAGTCTTCCTCAGTGGGAAGAAATTCTTTATTATTACTGATACGTTGATTTTTTTTTTTTTAGCAGAAGACTCAGAAAGTGGCGTTTACATGCGGTTCATGAGGTCACACAAGTGCTATGACATCGTTCCAACTAGTTCGAAGCTTGTTGTCTTTGATACTACGTTACAAGTAAGTCCACCAGTTTCTGTGAACTTTTGCTGTGTCGCTCGGACCACGGTTACTTAGGTCCAACAGTACCAGCAGATGCGCATTGAGTCCTTTCTGTCTCAAGCGTGAGGTTTTGTCTGAATTCTCAATCTCCATGGCAACTTATAAGGAATGTGCTATTACTGTCCTCTTTGTACAGATAAGGAAACTCAAGTTCTAGCTCAGGAGCGTAAATCACAGTTTTAACCCACAAATTCTAGAGGATAAGGATTTCGTCCGCAGAGCTAGTACATGGCAAGGTCTGGAATTTGAACACAGCCTGGCTGTGAATCTGGGTATGGCCTGGGAATAACCTAATGGTCCTTTGTTGTTCAGTAGTGTATCTGATAAATATTTGAACTAAAATTGGTTAAAAAGAAGAAAACACGAGCTGGGCGTGGTCCCACAAGCCTATAATCCCAGCACCAGGGAGGCTGAGGCAGGAGGATTGCTGTGAGTTCAAGGCCAGCCTGAACTATATAGCAAGTCACCCTCTCAAACATTAAAAAAGAAAGAAGAGAATACTAAGGTGGGTAATCACTTGAGAGAAAACATTATTATTCTCATTTAGCAAAAAATTTGAACCTGATCAATTTGCTGTTAAAATCTTGCTTGCTACAGTCACTTCATGTCAACATGACTTACAGTCCCGTGTGAGAAGTCCTAAGTAATACACTCAATGGTAAACTGTATTCAGTGTAATGAGAGGCTTGTGAACACACGTACACCCCTCCCTCTTGTTTACATACGTGTGTGTGTGTGTGTGTTTGTGTGCATTGTTTCTGTGTAAGTTGTGGCCCGGTGGCTTGTGAAGAAGGCTTTGCTCCCAGGAGAAACCACGAAGGCACTGGAAAAGCAAACAGGAGCCAGGAAGGCAGCCTGGCCGGGGCCTACTTCCGGCAGAGGCTGGTGGAGGCTGCTGGGCAGACCCTGGGCTGTGAGGCAGGCGCCCTGGAGATGTCCCCGCCGCCTCCCTTCCCCGGCCCTGGCCCGGCCCCGCCTGCCTGTCGCTGCCCTGTGTCCTCTGCCTTGGGATTATAGGCTAGCAGAAGGGGTTTTGCTTTTGTTTTTCATTTTCCAAGCATTTCTTGCTGAGTGGAAATACAATTGATGTTTGCAGATTGGCTTTGTATCCTACGACTTTGTTAAACCCTTTGGGCCAAATAACCTTCAGGGTCCCTTTTAAGCCCTAAGATTCCTTGAGTTTTTGGGACAAAGATGACGATATCACAGTAAGGAATGATACTTATTTTAAGAAATGTGGTCTGTACAGTTGTTACTACAAATTTCAATAAATAGCTAAACATTCCGAATCCCCAAAATGAAGGAACTCCTGGTCAGCCCACCTCACCCTCACCCCTATCCCCTGTAAGGCTCCCTTTTTGTTTTTTGGTTTTTTTTTTTTTTTTTTTGGTTTTTGGTTTTTCTCCGGTATCAGGAATTGAACTCCAACCTTGCGCTTGCAGGCAGGCGCTTTGCTGCTGAGCTAAATCCCTAGCCCCAGGGCTCCCTTTTGGGATGTAGCAGAGCTCTTGACCCTTGGCATTTCTGCACACTGAAAAGTAAGCGACAGATAATTCCACTTTCACATGGTTTTCCTTTGCCATGGGGCTCGCGTTCTTTGGAATTTAGAATTTAGCCAGACTAAGATGAACACTGCGATGCTGATGCTTTCTGGACACCGGAGGTCACAGACCCTGTAAATGCGGCTTCTAGCTTCCATAATCAGAGAAACCATGTGCACATGCTCTCCCGGAAGTCGTTCACCCTGTGGGTCTCTAAGCTTGCACAGAGCTGAAATTTATCACCATGGAAATGGAACAAGCAGGGGCATTGGTTAAAGCGGATGAGGAAGTCTTTGCAGAGTTAAGTGCAAGATATCATCAGCACACCCTGAGAGCTGAGAGACCGGAGATGACACAGGGACATCAGAGTTCCAAAGTAGCCCGTCACTGAGAGATCGCTTAGAGAAGTTGTGGAGTAAGTGTATCAGAGAGCACCCCACAACCATTAAGGAGAACGAAAAAAAGTTTGTTGAAAATACACTTATTTGGGGCCGGGGATATAGCTCAGCGGCATAAGGGCCTTCCTGGCAAGTGCAAGGTCCTGAGTTTGATTGCCAGTACAAAAAAAAAGAAAATATACTTATTTTATTTTTTGCCATGCTAGGGATTAAACCTAGAACCTCACACAGGCTGGGCAAGCACCCTACCTCTGAGGTATATCCCTGGCCCATTTCTAAATTTTACCATTCTGAGACAGGGTCTCCCTAAACTGCCCAAGCCAGGCTCAGACTTACGATCCTCCTGCCTCCCGCTTCCCAGATAGCTGGTACTACAGTCACACCACTGTGCATGATGAGAATTTTTCACACACGCACACTCCCCCGCACCCTTCTGTCTCTGTATCTGTCTCTCTGTCTCTCTGTCTGTCTGTCTGTCTGTCTGTCTCTCTCTCTCTCTCTCTCTCTCTCTCTCTCGGGCTGCAGAGCAGTACATACGTGAACCAAGTCATTCTGAAGGTGTAAAGCGTCAGGCGTAGCTCGCCCAGAGAGTTCATGGCACCTTTACAGGGGCCAAAGGCTGCCATTTGCGGGAAGCCTGGAAAAGGAGATGCTCAGAGAACAGAACAGACAGAAAATTATGAAAACGGACCCCGAGCTGCGCTGGAGTGAGGCGTGCACCCAGCATTTGTTTCCTTTAAGAGGCCGACTCCGCGTTCTCTGTTTGGGCTCCCCCGGTGCCCCCATGTTTGCTGCAGGAGCGAACGGAAGGAGCAGTGCGTCTCTCTTTCTGGCCGCCTCCCGGACCGGGAGGTCCTTGGAAGTGGAAGTCAAGTGACGGGGTGACGTTTGACTGCTGGGACATGGTCACCTGCAGACCTGGGGCCGCTGAGCAGTGCCCGTGCAGCCCCTGGTGAGAACCGTCTGAGGAGCAGGCGTTCCCCCGAGCTCCTGAGACCAGGGGCACAGAGGACGGAGGGGACCGCATGGCACGGTGCCTGCTGGGTCCTGCGCTTTGGGGTGGGCCGGCTGCACCGCACGACGCCGGGCACCGCCCCATGCACCCGTAGTGCAGTGGGGCCCCGAGAACCCCGTGTTCGTGGGGCCCTCGGCTGCCCATGCTCGGTACCTTCCATGTGCCGCTCCATGTCCAGCAGGGCCTGGCAGTAAGCAGAGCTATCCCCAAGGCAAGCGCGGCTGCTGGAGAGAATGCACATCATGTCCCCTGGGAATTCCCTGTGGCGGGCGCTGACCTGGCCAGGTCTGAAGGCCCTGGGAAGAGCACTGGGCCTAACACAGCCTGCCCTTGTTCTGGGCCCTCTGAAAACAGCTCGAGAGTCACTCGGTCTTGTGTCAGAGGGCACGTGCAGGTGTGGACGTGTGGCCTCAGCAAACCCCACCCAGTCTCCATGGTGGCAGCTGCTGTCCTTCTGGGGCCAGCCTCCTTGGGGATGTGCCACTGTATGTAGTTACCCAGCCTAGTGACAAGAGGACAGTACAGGGCTTCTTGTTCAGCTCTCCCTCCCACTCCCCTACTCCAAGGGTCAGACAGACAGTGGGAAGCCAAGCAGGGTGGTGCACAGCTGGAATCCCAGCAGTCTGGGAGGCTGAGGCAGGGGGATCAAGTTCAGGCCCAGCCTAGATAATTTAGAGAGACTTTTGTCTCAAAAAATAAAAATTAACAAAAGGGCTGGGGATGTAGCTCCCTGGGCAGGCCCTGGATTCAATCTCCAGAACCACACCAAACAAGAGACAGAAAAGCCTAGAATCCGTCAGTGATTCGGGAGCCAAGATGTGCGCCGCCAGAGGCTGCAAACTCCTGTGCCCCGGTCATTCAGACCTGGCTGCGGCGTCCTCTCTGCCTGATGACCACAACCCCACTCTCACCCGCAGAGAGGTGGCATTTTGGGTCCTGGGGATCGGTGGCCCTTCGCAACCTCTACCAGTATCTCTGGAAACCCGAGTTTCCCTCTGCAAGCGCCAGGGCCTGGTACTCTGGGCTGGCTTAGCTGGAAGCTGGTGAGAGCAGAGTGCGGCAGTCAGGTCCCTGCCCCTCTGCTCAGAGTTCTCCTTGTCTTATAGATCAGATGACGTTTCAGAAGGCTCTGAGTCCCCTTCATTCCTGGGGACATAGTCATCCCCTCGCGGCCACCAAAGACCCCTGTCATCGGACCATTCTACCCCTGGTTGCCCTTGATGAGGCCCTGTTCCTTCCTCGTCACAGCCCCAGGCTCCTGGGGGGTGTCCGGAGTGGGGCACTGACACTGTCCCAGCTGTCTCCTGCTGTGCGGGTGGCCTGCGAGCTCAGCGGCATGGAGAAGGGAGCTGTGCTCACACACGCAGACCTCCGGGGGTAAGCGTGCAAGTGTGCAGCTGCACACGGTGCATCTGTGCCACCCCTCGTTGCCCTGAGCCTGTCGCTCCTTTCTCTGGGAAGCTGCGTGAGTCCTGGCATCTCCACCCATGCAGCACAGATTCAGCAGCGCCCTGGCCCACATCCGGCCGGCCCCGGAAGTGGTTAGTGCCTCTGCGGCTGGGTGCCCTCATCGGGGGCAGGTGGTTTCTGATAAGTCCTTACGAAGCAAGAAATGCCGCCAAGTCAGCGTTAAGTTTCTTCTCCTGGGAAGAAGCCATCCCCCACAGGTTTCTGGGTTTCCGGATAGAAAGGAGCACACCTTACAGTGCTCTGTGCATGGCCGGCTGGGACCGTCTGGGGAAGAGAGCGACATGCAGTGTGCCCAGGAACGTGTGTTGCCTCCAGGCTCCCAAGCAAAGCTGATCCTCCTGGCGCCTGCCCTTTCCACGGCCGCAGAGGCTTGGCATCGCCTCGGGATTTAGGAATCCCAGCTTTGTCCCTGTGTCCCTGTGCCTGGCACAACGGTTCCGTGCCCTCCAAGTCAGGGCCGCGCTTCCATGACAGAGACACATGAGGCTGCAAGTCGGGGGGGTTCCACATCACAGTCACACCCGTGCTGTATTT